TGCTCAAGGCTCAGCTTCAAATTTGGTAATGTGGAGTCAGTGTGGTGTTTGAACATTGTGGATATAATTAATAGTGTCTCTCCATCATGTAGAGATTATTTTAATATTGAAATAACTTACAATAACATACAAATTATTTTTATATTTCTTATTTGCAGGAGCTCCAACCATCTTTATCTCAGCATGGGTGATTACAAAGGCTTATTTGAATGATCATGGGTGAGTCAATCATTCATATTTGCTTTTATCTTGTAAGCCTACCTTTACTTACGACAAGTTAAGTAACTGATATGTTATCAGTACAGCTGATTTAAACATAATTATACACTCAAATATTATAAAAATAGCAGGTTTTAGTGGAGCTCTGTAGTGAACTATCAATCTCCAACAAGACACAAAGTCTAAGAGCTGAGGGATTTTATGGCTACACTACCTTACAAAGCCAAAATGCGACATCTACCTAATCTATTTTCTTTAAACAAGACAGGTTTTTTTTCAGTGTTTGTTAGATGTGTGTAAAAAAGTGTACATACTTCTACCTGCCTGAATGCTAAAGCTAGAGAGCTATGTCATGTTTAAGCTAGTATGTGAGGAAAAGCTAGCCTTGGCTAAATGATTTTTAAATAAATAAAAAATGCGTTTGATTATTTGACATTGAAGAAATGTTTTATTTTATGCAACAAGATGAGGAAACGAAGACCCTCGTGGTACTAAAAGGTTACCAGAACTGCTAAAAGATAACTAGCCTAGCTTAGCTAAGTTAGCACCACAGCCTCTCTGGCTAAACATGAATTCACGCAAGTTTGTTTTGTGTGTTAACGCTAATCTAAATAGGTTATTTAAGTATTATGAACTTTAGACTCTGTTATTTAACTAGTTTATTACTGTAGTTCAAATGAACAAAAATATATGAAAAAGAAAACTGTTTGTTAAAAGATACTGGGTTTACCTACACACTTAAGATGGTTTGGCTAACTAGCATCAAAACATAAAAATCCCTTTTCTCTTCTCCATTGTTTCTGCTGCTCCCTACCTTTGTACTACAGCTAAAGGATTTGTTATATTTTAAATTATGATTTAACTTGCAAACTATTTTGTATTTACTCCTTTTTCTCTTCTGACAGATGCTGGGAGATAATTGACGACAGCCCATGGTGGATCATCAAAACACCTATTTTGGTTACCATACTTGTGAGTCACGATGGATAACATTTCATATGCAGCCCTTCAAAATGCAATCACATTAATCAGTCTTTTACTCTTTTGGCAGGTGAACTTTTTCCTCTTCATCTGCATTATCCGTATCTTGCGACAGAAAATGAATTGCCCGGACATCGGAAGAAAGGAATCCAATCAGTACTCGTAGGTTTTCAGTGCAGTGCAGAATCTCTATCATAGTAATTTCTTATCAGGTGACATTGAATACATTCTTCTTCTTCCGCTATGTTGGAGGTGGTGAGCAATCACACCTCCTGCATAGTGAAAAGCCCGGCGTTGAGTATACCTTGAAAGGTTTTCACAAGGTGGAACTCAAGCCTTCTCTTTTTCACTTCCTCTGTTTTTTGTTTTGTGACTTTTTTCAGGAGACTGGCTAAATCCACTTTGCTGTTGATACCTCTTTTTGGCATAAATTACATCATTTTTGCCTTCATCCCTGACCACATCCACCACCAAGTTAGGATGGTTTTCGATCTTATCCTGGGGTCCTTTCAGGTAACGTCACATGACAGCATACAAAGTGTTGATTAGTTAGTACCAGTATCTCAACTTTCCAAATGTTAGACAGAAGCAACACTGATAAATGATGGTATTTTATGTACATTTTCTGTCTTTTGACTGGCCTGGGTTGCCATGTTGTGTCTGAGGTAAAGAGTTGTGTCATAAATAAAACACCAGATTAGTAGAAGAGATACTTTCATTCTGTAAAGTTACATGAAAATAGCAAGATGAAAACATGTTGTCTAATAAGGCAAGCTAATGGCTGATTTAGCCGAAATGTTTAAAATTGTTCACTTGAATAATGAGATGGCTGATTTACAGTTGGTATTAGATTGGAAATGAATGCTGAGAGCCAAAGGCAATGATGGATAGCGATGGAAAGTATTCCTCATTTATAACCGTTTTAGCCCAGAATGATATCTCCTGGGAACATTTCCCAGAGATCTAAATGATGAACCTCCTGTCTGAGTCTAAAGTTTGTCGTAATCTTACCGTCATTATTCATACACAAGCATTTCGAGTGTTTCCCCAGCTGTAATATCACTCTGGTATTTCTTTTCAACAACAGCCGTTATCAGGCTGTGCGTTTTATATTCTTCTCTCTTCCTCAGGGTTTCGTCGTTGCAGTTCTGTACTGCTTTCTGAACGGAGAGGTAAGTAAATGCAAACATAAAACAGCTCTTGATGTTTACAGTCCTTTTGTGTCACTTATTTTAATGTTAAGTCCTGTTTGCCTTAAACTCTTAATCTCCACCTCATCAACCTGTTTGCATTCTACCCACTTGTCTCTCCTGCAGGTACAGGCTGAGATTAAACGTAAGTGGCGCAGATGGATGCTGCAGAGGTTCCTGGGTACAGGCAGCAAGTACCAGCAGCCCTCCATAGGCAGCAACGGCAACAACTTCAGCACCCAGATCACTATGTTGACCAAATGCAGCCCTACAATGCGTCGGGAGTCTGAGTGTCAGGAGCACTTCTCCGCTATCTGAAGCCTCTCTGTGTTTCTATCATTGGGTACTTAATTATACACACACGCACTGTTGCCAAGCACTTCATATTGGTTACTGAAGGTTAATATTAAATATTGAGCCTAGGCTAATATTTGTTCATTGTAACTTTATCAAAAAAAAGTGAGAAGTGATTTTTTTTGCAAGTGTGAAAAGGCATCTGAACTCATCTCCTTAAGTTACATTTGCGAGACTTATAGCTTTGATCGGGAATTAACTTTCATGATGCCGGTAGTTGACCTCTTTGACCCTCATGTATTTTATATTAACATATGGGCTAGTCTCTCGCTAACAGATTTGTTTTTAAACAAGTATAGCTCTGAGATCACTCGATAAGGCAACCCAAACAGGCTCCTAACAAGTTGAAAATCAATTCTCAGAATAAGTCTTTACTGATAAACACAATGCCAAATACTGCAGGGAGAAAGACCGCCTTGGCAACTATGTGAATTAAAGGGAAATGAAATGGAGGTCTTGGCCAGTGTTTTCCATCTGAAGTTAAGCAATAGTTGGACAGAGGCAGAGATGAGCTGCGTCCTATAAAAAACAAGATGTTTATTAAAATGGTGTGTTACACAAGAGGGCTCCAAGCACTTAACCTAATGGCCCATGTTGCTCAGGAGACCCGTGGTAACAACTTGGATGAGAGTGTCAGGCTGTCATGAACAGTAGTCACATAGGAGGTATCTATAGCATAAACAATGTATCGGATGTTTTTATCCCGTGTATGACAGTTTTATACAGGGGATACACATTGCAGAATTACTGCCGGATAACATTCCAGAGGAGACAGTAAAGCTCCCGCTTGTGAAATTGATCTCAGATTACAAAGGCTTTTAGTTTTGTCTGAGTGCAGTCGCTCAGCAGACGTTCATTTCTATTTATACTGTTGCTGCGACTAATGGACCAGATGTGTTTCATTATTAGTTCACAATACGCAACATTGTGAATAAATATGTGGCAACACTAACTTCCATTAACTGAATTGCATGGACAATTCATTTCATTGCATTGAGTGTAAACTCTCTATGCTATGCTGTCAGAGATTAAGTAGATATTGTTATTTTATCTTACTGTTTTTTAGCCACGCTAGCAGCATGGCTGTCGGTCAGTTGAACATTTTTGGTCCAGATGGAAATATCTGTTTGACGTATACAGACTTTATCACCAGAGGATGAATCTTAATAACTTTATGATCTTACGACTTTAAACTAGCACATCCAGCAGGTCTGAGTTTCTACTTATCTAGTGAAATATGTTGTTATGCTCCAAAGCTGGTTGAAAGGTAATAACCACGGCAATGCCTTTCATTTGGTATTGTCATCTATACTTTACTATACTGAAAGTTTGCTTAAAACTGCAAAACTAAGGACATTTTCATCAACCTCCGAGCTTCTTTGAGTATGTCAGTAATTAGCAAATGCTAACATGCTAACCTAAGATTCCAAACATGGTTACATAAACCCTCTAAACATCAGCATGTTATTATGCCAGCATTTACGTAATATGTAACCCCTAAATGACCATTTGTACATACATATTTACCCTGTGTTACCATGAATTCTTGGAGAAGACCTTTGTTTGTAAAGATAATATACAAAAATAAATATAGGTACGCAAAAAAAAACGGTTTTCTTCAAGGATTTAAGGTGAAAGGGGGAAAGCACTTAATATACAAATGATAATTTTGTGGATTAAATATTCCTTTACATTTAAAGCCCTACCTCACAAAGACGCTCGATCTGCTGTAGATTGTTTCATGTATTTTATCGACTTCAATAACACCCTGCATGATAGTTGTCGTTCCCTCCCTCCCAGGTCAAAAAAAGACTTTTTCGATATTAATATGTAAAGGCAGTCATAGTGTCAAATTTCACGTATGAGTCATTTTGGAGTTTGATGTTTACTTTAGCCCCTCGTCTTGTTGTACCAGTGTGTGTAAAGCTGGAACTACCTGAAATTACCTCAGACGTGTTGTATATTGTCCTAAACCGATATCTTGGTTTATAATGTGTGTTGTGGACGGTGATGACTTAGAGTGCTCAGGAGTCAACTGGAAAACTGTGGTTTATATTGAAACGTTCCTTGCTCATTCTATCTACATAATATATCTCTAAAGTGTATTTTATCTGTTGCCATGTATATTATCTGTAAATACGGTGTACTGTACATTATGCTGAATCTGCTGTAAAAATGTTATTGAACAAAATGTAAAATGATGTTGAATAAAACCATTTGCACTGTGGACAGGCCTTAAAGCAAAACAATCTTTATTTCTGCTTCAAATAAAGCAAACAGGTATTAAAGACACTTGATGAAATAAAATAACAAATAAAACAGATGTACAAATCAACATGTTAGCTTTCTATAAAGCTAGCATTAACATGAATCTGTCTCCCCCTGCTGTAAAAAAATAGGGGGGAACAACCTCATAACACCTTTTCTCCTGGAGAGACCAAATGGGATTGTTACTGTGAAACTTTCTGTACCCTAAACCAATTTTGGGAGATGGTCCATAATGAGTACAATCATTTACTTTAATGATAATGTATCACTATTAACCTCGTGGCACCAGCAACAGTTCAGTTATAACTTGGTGAGGCGCAGAGTGTTGAGACGCACTGGGAGAATAGTGGCTCCCTCTGCATAGCTGATCTCTCGCAAAATCCCATTCCAGCACTTGTCTGGCTCGTCATATCTGTGGGAAACATACATAAATCAGTTGTTGTCTGCTCATAGCATCATTGGATAGAATACAACAATAACAAATGCAATTTCATGTCCTTTTAGCTAGACATGCAAAGATTAATTGAATCATTGTCAACTAAGGAATTAGTCATAAACTATTTTGATAAAAGATTAATCAGTTTGAATATTTTTCTTTTCAACAATCAATATTCCATTCCACTCCAGCTTCTTAAATGTGAATAGTTCCTGGTTTCTTTAATCCTCTATGTAAACTGAATATCTTTGGGATGACAAATATTTATAATATTGTATACAATAAACATTGTCGACAGTAGTAAATGGAAAGTGCAATTTTTAGAGATTGTTATTTTCTCCACTTTTAACCCTAATGAGCTACAGTATACATTTATGTATGTTACCATGGCATACATTTGGACTTGTCTAAACAGGAAAAGTACATATAAAAGTACAGTAACAATTGTTCAGTTCCATTTAGTTATGCAAGTAAGGTGTGAAGAGTGAGCAAACACGCACAAAACAAGCATCCTTGAAAACATAATTGGAATGCAGCCATTATTGTAAAATATAATAAATCTGGTATATTCCCTCAATACTTTTCCTTATGTGTGGCACTCAGCCTCAAACCCCTTTGTTCCCACTAGATGTAAATATTTTAAAAAGATCACATCATTTGTGATTTTATTAAATGAAATAATTGTTGCTTTTGGTCTTTAATAGGATTAGTTAACAATTAGAAAAACAAAATAATACTAATAGATTTATAATTAAAAAAATATTCATTAAACCTGTACTTATCCTTTTGGCAAAGTATACAGTATGGTCTATGGAAAGACATAATTGGAGTTTGGCATGAGATTATTCTTTGCTGTGTTGTCATTTAAAACATTTTAATAATGGGGTATCATGTCTTTTCAACTGTAGAATGAAATCTCTGTTATTGTGGTCACATTATATTCACTCATGGGCCCCCTCACCTCCAGACGTCAGCCATCTCTGTTGGGACGGGCTCGTCACTGGTTTCACTGGGCATCATGGCAAAGCCCCCCACAGCATACAGGCAACCCCCAGTGGAGATCAGATTGAGAGAGCTGCGCTCCTGAGGGAAGTCTGTAAACTCGGACCACCTGGAGCACAAAACAACAATAACGTGATGATGATGTTAGATAAGCTGCTATATGTTACTGTATGATACACACAGCAGTGCAATCAGTGCTATTTTGATGACCTTATGATCTTCTATAAATGCTCGATGAGTCATTACATTACTGTGGACAGTGGCTTCACCTCATAACAATGAGTGGCTCATATACAAAAACAACAGTTGTCTTACTTGTTGGTGGCAATGTCGTAGAACTCCACAGAGCTGGTGAGCCCTGCGTCTGTGACCCCCGTGACCACGAAGATCTGTTCTTTGTGTACGGTGATACCAAACAGGGAGCGGGCCGTCTGCAGAGGAGCCAGGTCCTTCCACTCAAACTTTGTGGGGTTGTAGACACAGACCCTTCTCATACATTTCCTACATGAATCATTTAAAACAGTGTGTTAAAGGGGCTCTCTACTAGTTTATCTTATAGATGAAGTTCAGTTTACTTATCATAGAGAGTACCACTCATTCTGTAAACAGTTGTAAACAGTTTATTTCTGTTGAAAAAACAACCCTGATGATGGATGTCATAAACTGAGGGTGTGGAATTGAAAAGAGAAGGGGGCGTTTAAAGGCAGGGAGGCTCCGGTTGAAGATGCTGTTCAGTTGCATTATTAGTGTAGTTTAGGATAAAGTGTTTTTGTAGCTTACTAGATGATAAATGTAATCATTTCTCAGGTAGCTCGATCTTGACCATACTATTCTTTTTTCTTTTTTTTCTGTATGACGAGTTCCCCAACTTTATAAAAGTAAATCACAGAAATACCCCTTTAAATACCTCTAAAGGATTACAATCTGTTGTATCTGAAGTAATACTTTTACAAATTGAGTATTGAGCAACATAGAATAAATTACAATACATTAAGGTTTTGGTTTAAAAAAGGCACAAAAACTAGCATTCGTATTGGTTACATGGAACCACAGTGTGAAAATACAATCCTGAGGTGTAATAAAATGATCTATACTATACAGGAAACAGAGTGCCACATACTTGCTTTCAGATTTCCCTCCAATGACGTAGACCAGACCGTTGTGTGAGACGGTTCCATGGCCGTACACTTGGTAAGGAAGAGGGTCAGACTCTCCCCATTTGAATGACCTGTGCACAAAAAAAGAATATGCATCATCTTGAAGTAATCCTTAATACAATTATTGATGATAATGAAGTGAATCTACAGACTCATGCAGCAATAATACTGATACGAAATGATAACGAGGGAGATCTTCAGGAATACAATAACTAACTTTGTGGCACAAAAAGCATGTACAAAATTTGATAGATTTGGATTTTTCATAAAAACTCAAAGGTTAAGTTTAAAGTTTAGACATTTATACAACTTTTGAGACAAAAATAGCCAATTATTCTGCTGAAAAATGCATTTTGATGGCAATACATGGTTTACACAGGACAATGATGCAGCATTTGATATCTATAGAAATAATGCTTTTATTGTGACAATGAGAGTGATTGTATTACACTCTCTGATGATTTAAAAGGAGGCTTGATTGCTGATTAATAAGAAACATTTCCTGAAAAGACTTCCCTTTAAAAATACAAGTGTTTTCATTTAGACCATGGATTTAAAGAAGATCCCTATCCACACTTACTGTCTGTCATAGATGATGACTGAGTCCAGGGCGTGCTCTCCATCCTTCAGCTCCTTTCCTCCAACAACGAAGATGGAGTTCTCAGCTTCAGTCAGGCCGAACAGACAGCGAGGGTTGGGTTGAGAAGGCATCCCTAACCATTCTGAACTCACTGGGTCAAACTGGGGATGAAGACAATGATATGTGAGGATTGAGGAACAAGGAAATAGAATTTGACCCTGTTTTTCAGGTTACAAAACACACCATACCTGCAGGAAGTAAGAGCTGAACGGTTCATCTTTGTCCTCTTCGTTGTAGATAAGTCCTCCGACAACAAACACCTGGTTCTCCTTGGTCACCAGGCTGCAGTGGTTCTTGGGAATTTTTGTCGACTCTGAGGCCACAAAGCATTCATTTCCTACCGGGTCATAGGCCACAGTCCCTTTGTCACTGATCATTAGTATCAGTTCCAGCTCAAACATTCCAAAGCGAGGGTTGTTGTTGAGTATACCCGGCAAGTACCCTTCTTCCTCATCGTCCTCCTCCTCGCTTTCTTCTCCCCCCTTTGCCTCGTCACTTTCAAGCTTCTTGGGTTTTGGGAGACGCCCTTTGTAAGCATCCTTGACCAGATCCAGCTCCTTCTTGATGTCCTGGCTGAACCGCAGGAACTGGTGACGCTCTACTTTCTCTTTGAAGTAATCCGGAGCTATGAGCCTGAAACGGATGCAGTGCAAAAGCTCTGGAAGGTCCTTAACACGGTTAGTCTCGTCATGTTTGACCCAGTCCATTAGAGATTCAAACACCAGCTCCTCCCGCTCAATGTTGAGGGCGTCTGAGGTGATGATGATGGCCAGCTCGCTCGCGCCCAACTGATGGAAGTCCTGGTCTCTGACAACCACCTGGTAGCGTTCACAGATGAAGTCTCTAGCATTCAGAGCAAGCCTGGGACAATCCAGCAGCAGTCCCAGCCTGAAGATAGCCAAGCAGTTTCCCAGAACCAGCTTCTCTTGGAGGTAGGACACACATACAGAGAAGATTGAGGGTATCTGGTACATGTTAGCAACCATGAAGATATCCTGGACGTTCTGTTCTGTCAGATTAATGTCAGAGGTGTATAAGTAGCGCAGGATCATCTTAATGACACTTGGCTCCACATCTTTGAGGACAATCTCACGCTTCTTGCTCTCCTCCAGTTCGGACAGGAACATGGCCTTGAAGAAAGGGCTGCTTGCGGCCAAAACCAAGCGGTGGCAGGGGAACTCCTCCTCCTGAATTTTGAGGACGCAGTCCACAAACTTTTCATTCTCCAAGAGGTCACTCAATCCGTCCTGAAGCAGACTCTGTTGGTACATCCGAGGCTGCTCCACCGGGTCTATAGTCTGGGCCGCCATTTTGTTCTGTCGACCTAATGCTGGTTGGGTTTCGTGGGCACCCTACTCGCTCCCCACAACAGAGCAGAACTGTCAGCGTGCACAGGGCGGCTCGGATCACTGGGGACAGTCTCAGTGGGTTGGTTGGCTGGTGGCTGCAGCTGCCTGTGGCTGTCAGTCACTCTGTAAGTCAGGGGTATTTATAGACAGGACCCTCACAAAGCTGAGGAATCCATTTTGGTGGACCTACCCACTCCTGCACCACACAGACCCCCACAAAAACAGCTGAATGACTAAGCACAGGGGTGTGTTAAATCCAGCAGAACAACTCAGCAGGCCGTCTTGCTGACTTTTATTACTTTGATATTTTCACACAGTTTCACACAATTGTATTTGTACAATTGTGTTGTTTTCTGAAATCCTGTGACTTTAATAGTGAAAGTAAATACACTGGCTAGACTGACATTGAGCATTTTACCATACTGCATGAACATGAGTGGAGCTACAGGAGAGTAGAGGTAACTGTTGTTCCCTTTATAAGCATGTTTCATGCTAAATCTGTACCTGACACCACAAATTAATACAAACTTGTGTTTTAGAATAAAAACACACAAAGCATGTATGCAAAACTAAATGTTTTGTTAATTCACTGTTCACCTTTATAATTGACATCCCCATAAACCTTCCTCAAGTTAAAAAGCTAGTGACACACTTCACCATATGTCCCACATTAGTTGGGGTGTTACTTCTTATTATTTAACAGGTGATGTACTCTACATGTCCTTTCATTTAAATAATTTAAAAGTATCTCTTTATAAAAATAACAAAACAATTTGAAAATGTGAGTTGCGATAATAAGTCGATCAACAGAAACTAATCATTTTGGTTATCTACTGAAGTGCTTGAGCTTCCAAAAGTTACAGTTTTCAGCCTCTCAAATATGGAGACTTTCTTTTTTCTGTTGTATATTGTTAAAACAAATTGCATATATTTTTGTTTTACATTGACAAAAAAAGACATGGGGAAGAAATGTAGGAGTATTATAGACTAAATAAATTGATTGACCAAGAAAATAATGGGCAGACTAATTGATAACAAATATAAACATGACTTAATAATTGAACTAAACATTCATGGTATAATTGTTAAAATATGATTAAAACAGCAGGTTCATACAAAATGTTTCATTATCAAATCAGTCCTCTTTTAGATAAGAGGTCTCATTATTCATAACACATCAAATTAATAAAGATTATGAAGCATGCTCAAACACGTTCTATATATATATGGAATATGTGTAACCTCGTTTAATTCATGCCTCCAGAATGATAAACGACACTGGCACCTATTGGCTGAAGATATTGGGATAAATTAATTGCACCACTTTCCCTCATACATACACAGGGAATATTTTTCTGTTATGTGTAATTCTTGCCATATAATTAACTTAATAATAAATGTATGCTACTCTTGTTTACTTAGAGGACAAGCCCATTGGAATAAGTTGATCAAACATACTGTAAGAGTTTCATATGAAGAGATATGTCACCTGTAAACTCTTTGTAAAGGCCAAATGCAATTTAACACAAAGTTATATGCTGCTCATGGTGAAAAATAGAAAAGCACAGGTGAAAGGAATAACATTAATTAAAGTGATGCCCGGCTTATCTGTGCCAGCACCCAAGAGCGAGTCAGTTTGAAGGTCACAATTCGTGTTATTTATTACACCTGAGCATTTCTTGCAAACTGTAAATTGAGCAGCATGTTAAACCGGACCTATACGATAATGTATGGGTGACCTGAATTGCTACGTAAAAGCATACCTTTATATGGTGCCTACAATACTAAGCTATCCAGTTATTAATACGCAGCTATGGATAGATGCGACACAGTGGTTTAGCATAGGTAAGCTAGCTCAAAATTCATTGGACTATCATCAATGTGCAAATTAAATATGTTGTTTTTATCTTTGGTCAAAATATGTTGGATTTATGGAACTTTTCTGTGTATATTTACTTTTTTAAAAACACACTGACGTTTAAAACAATCAGTTAGCACTACTGGAAAAGTAGTTCTCTGTTGAAGATGCTGTAAATCACATGATGTCACCTACAACATGCACTTTCTTTTCATAGAAGGAAAAGCACAGGTGTTACTATTTCCATTATTGAGTCCCAGGAAACAATGACAATGAGCAAGTATGCACAATACCAGCATCTACTGTGACATGAAAAAGGATTATATGGTTAAGGCTACAATTGTTTCACCATCCTAAACTGGAGAGTAAGGTAGGTGCCAATCATGTTCAGATAGTGCTTTTTAAGCAAACTAAGTGGAAGTAAATAAAGGAGTCCAATGGAGATGTTTCAGGCAGGGAGAAAAATGTGCTTCAAATGTTGGGATTCAAGCCTTTGCAGACCATTTGCCTATATAACACACTACAGTAAAGGGAAGACCCCAAAAAGCATAATAGGGCCCCTTTGATCAAACATGTGTTAATCTCAGTCAGTGAGCAGCGTTGGTCAAAGTGGGCCATCTTGTGGCCATAGATTACATTGTCTCACTTTAAACCCAATGCTGTCTTTCGTGACTTATTATAGAATGTAATAAGAAATTATTTAGAATAAATTGAATGTTTTATTTTACTGCTTATCCGTCAACGCAAACAACAAAACTATATTTAGTTTTGTCTCTATACAACAAAAAAACAAACTGATACTTGTGTCCCTTTTGGATGAACCAAAACTTTATTTCAAGTCAAACATTCGAAAATGAACACTTTTGAGTAAAAACCCTAAAAGAAAAGGCATTACAATATTTTTTCTCTGGCTGCTGCACTAGAGACAGACAGACAGCAGGTTTTGGTGACAGGCAGGATAAGAGTGACGCATTTTCCCTCCCGGGCCTATTGCCTTTCATAGTGAGCTGAGGGGCCTGGGTCATGTGGAAGAGGGTGGAGGGGAGATATTCTTAAATGTCACACCGACAGTAATCTCCTGCATGGTGGTCGTTCTCTGGACGGTTTAACTACATTCAACTCTTCAACATGATAAAAGATCTAAAACATTCTCAACCAACCTTCAAAATAGACTTTCCTATACATTGTACTATTATCTTTGCTTAGTGAAAGTAGATCAAAAATACAATCAGCTGCAAGCTATGTGCAGGACGTCGACAGCACCATTTATGTAATATCTTCATTGCAGTCCATTTGTGGCACCCTGAGTCTTTTCAAGTTTTTAACCCTTTCAGTATGGTAAACAATTGTCATAATGAGGATCTGAGGCGTTTAAGGCAAAGTAAGACACCATTTAACAAAAAAATAATCCTATTGATGATGGTTAAAGAAAAAAAAACAGTGATAAATCTAAAGTGAAAACAGGAGAAAACAACAGAAGTTGTTCCTGCATGTCTTTATACTATGAGGTGTACTATCGTTAAATATTTAGCCGGCCTAAAACAATCTCTTGTTCGGATGAAATACAAAACCATTGGTGGATTTGTGCCAAAGGACGTGGCGATTATCTACAGCAAGTGCACTTGAGGAGATTTGACAATTCCAAACTTTGCTTCACTTCTAACAAAAACACAGGCTTTGTAAACAATACATACAGGTGCCGAATAGTTGTTACACTCGGGTTAGGTTTAGTTCACAAGGCCGAGCATGGAACAGTGTGAGTGGGCTGTTCACCGTGAAGTCTGTGACAGTTTCCTATCTGTTTATTCCGCTTTTTCTTTGCCCCCATCTACTGCCTTCACCGGCTCGGGATCCTCCAGCAGGGCTTCTTTTCTCTCTCTTTCCTTCACCAGCTGCACGCCACAGTAGGTCACAAGTAACACTGAGAGGGTGGACAGAGGAAAACCTGGAAGAAAAACACAAAGAAGGAAAGATAGAGGAAGTGACGGGGGGAAAAAGGGAAAGAAAAACGGACTATAGGGGATTTATCATCTGTTGATAATCCTGTGAACAACCTCTACCATACTCTGGTGTTATTAAACATTCCTTTATTCTATGTGAAAGAAAGCAACAAAGAAGATGTTAAGTCATTTGATATCTGGAGGATGACGCCCCCTGAGACTCTGTTGCTTTTGATGTCCGTCTCGCTTTCAATAGAACTGACAGAAGAGCCTCAGTATGTTTCTACATAATACACTCTCGTTGTTCCATACCTTTGAAAATCAGTCGTCTTCCCACCAGTTTGGCGAACTCCAAACTGTTCAGGGAGAGGACGTTGTAGAGGATAATGGTCCAGAAGTTGGCAGCGTTGAACACACCCCGGATCCTGCGTGACATGGCTCCACCCATAAAACCCTATATTTACAGGGGAAACAGGTTCAAAATTACGCAAAGCATCATACCTATATTGACTATAGGGACTTTTATCTGGATGTTTCCTACCTCAATGGTAGAAAGTGGTGGCAGGGAGAACAACTTGGCCACCCACAGCTCAAAGTTGAGGCCAAAGCAGTTGAAGAAGGACCAGATGTAAACCAGCTGACACGGGCCCAGCCACAGCGTAGTGATTGCGAAGGTGCAGATGGTTGCCAGGAGCTCCTTGAAGATTTTATCGTGATCCCCGCCAATGTAGTCATAAACATACCTGCAAAATAATAGTTCAAAATCAACTGGATAGAGAACCAAAATCGTCCTCCATGAACATTAGGCATTAGGTTTTGTAAAGCTAGAGTAAATGTGTTGTTATTAAGAAGAAGAAGAAGATGGACCTTTATTAATCCCCCGAGGGGGAAATTCAGTCGTACACACACACGCGTTTTTATACAGGTAATACAGTACACACAGTACACACTTTTTACAACATGCACATACAAAATACACACACAGTTGAGAGGTCAGAGCGGAGGCAGCCAGTCTAGCCGGCGCCAGTGAGCAGTTGGGGGTTAGGTGCCTTGCTCAAGGGCACTTCGGCAGTGGCCCAGGAGGTGAACTGGCTCCTCTCCAGTACCAGTCTACACTCCGTATTTTTTAGGTCCGATCGGGACGTGAACCGGCGACCCTTCGGTCCATAGTCCGATCCCCTACAGACTGAACTACTGCAAACTGCAAACAAAACTACATAACCTAAGGAACCCTTTGGTGACAACCACATCATGCTAGCTAGTCACAAAGGAGGCTAAATTGGATCCAAAGTTCGAGGTGGCAAAACAATCTTCAGACAGAACTGCTCACCATCCAATGGCAGAAGAATGCCAATTTTGGAGAATTCTCCCAATGTTTAAACTCATTGATACACAATCCCTTCATGGTCTTGGTGTCTGAATGTGGTATTTTGGAGGGACAACGTTTATTAGTTCCTGAATGGTAAATGTTTTCTTTTTTTTGCATTCCGTCATAATGTTCTAAGCCCTTATACACAGATGTATGACTAGACCTGTATCTGAAATTCATCTTCAGGTTCCTACTTTTTAGATGTTGTATTGTACATACATTCTTGACCAGCTATTCCCCAATAATGATCCCCTATCCCCCTAAAAAAAAGAAAAACATGGTATGCTAGGGAGGTCACCGGGCAAGAGATTGAACACACTTACCTGCACAGCCAGTCGTTGATGCCTCTGTCAAAGTGCCTAGAAAAAGGAGAAATAATCCACGTTAACACTTATACACAATTTCAAGGTTAATCAACGTCACCAAAGAAAGAGAAATAGCGCTTACGTCTCAGCGAAGACATAGAGCATGGTGATACATTTAGGAGGCTGAGGAGGGTCCAGGTGGTCCAGTCTAGCCACAGTGTTGATGACACCAAACATTATGGCTGCCTTCACCCAGTCATACACCAGGTTGGAATAAGCCAGACCAGCTGGGTACATATGGAAACAAAATAAGATAAGATAAGATAAGATGGACCTTTATTAATCCCTGTGGGGAAATTCAGTTGTAAGGAGAGTGTTGGTGAACTTTGATATATCCATTATGTTAAAAAGAGCCAATATTAGAGATTAGCTCTTCATCATATATATGCTCACCCAGACACCAGTCAGAAAGCTTGGCGACCAGCTTCATGTCACTGGGGATGGTCAGGATGTAGAGGTAGTGGAAGAAGACGTCCACCACCAGAATAATTCCCAGATGCAGCAAAGCCTTGGTGGTGATGTTCCACACCTCCCTTTCCTTGCGCGTCAGCTGGGTGTTGTTCACCTGTGGAATTAAAAACACAAACCATCATGGTTGGAATAAGGGTAAGAACATACTGATATTCAAAATGTAAACATAGTTATATCAACTCAATGCATTGTGTTTGGTTATTACATTAGCCTTTAGGAGTTTTCTAAAACAATTTGCCCTCATGAGTGATGGCTTTAATAACTACTGTCAGATTTCAAATGGCGGCTCACTTTTCCACTTTGACTTACCACTTTCCTGTCAAATCTTAAATCCTCACCTGGGCATGAAACTTGTCGAAAGTCATGATGGGTCCGAAGAAGAAGAAGGGGAGGTAGAAGTTGTATCTCAGCAGGTCACAGAAGGTGTAGTTGCCCTCCTTCCTATCGCAGTTCTCCAAAGCAAAGCTCATACAGCGCATGATGCTGAAGCCACAGCCTCCGTAGAACAGGACGTCTTGCAGGTCAAAAGAGCCGGTCACCAAGGCTTCCTGAAGAAAAATTGGAGCATTACTCCAGCACCTTGTTATAATTTAAAACAGCATATTTTGGTTGTATTATTTTCTCTTAAATATAGTCATACTAGGGCTGCAATTAACTGTTAATTGGATTACTCAGCTGATTATTTTCTTGGCTATTCTCTAGGTCTATAACATGACAGAATGTTTCTCAAAGTCCAAGGTGATGTCTTTAAATGTCTAATCATATTATATAAAAAAGAGAAAAACAGGACATCTCCATAATTGAGATGCTTACAGTAAAAGAGCTGTTTTCTTATCAAATGTGCATCCAAAATTACTTTTGACTATTAAACGATGATCAAAATATGAATACTTTTCTATCAATAGACTTATCGATTAGTCGATTGTGTTAGAAATTAAATAAAATATAAGTTGAAAAAAATGAATTCAACAAATTCTAAATAATAAAGAATCTCCATGCCGGTTTTTCTAATTATCTCTTTGAATGTCTTGTTTTATAAAAAAACTGAAATATTCAGTTTAATATGATATAAAATGGTAAAAAGCTAGCTCATATTATTGAGGGTGAGAAGGTCATCATTATCTGCCTTTTTGATGAAAAGTGAGACGTATCTCCTTTTATCAGGCAATCCAGCATTCACTGTTTACGCATCTAAGGCCTGAATGAGCCTCCCTGATGATTTTTGGTTTAACCCAAAACCCCCCCACTCACCTGCCAGGAGTTATAGGGCTCCAGCTTGATGGAGGCCAGCGCGCTCAGGCCGGCAGCAAAGCACAACCACTTCATCTTGACCAGGGCGACGCTGTAGAGGATGATGCAGTGAGACAGAACCAGAGCCATGTAGGTCCAGCCCATGGTGACCAGCACGGCCAAACCACCGTACACCCCAAAGATCAAGGATCTGTGCTGTGGGTACACAGGCCAGCGTGAGTGTGACGGCATCCTGGGAATACTTGTACTACTCATGAATTCATTTATCACACATGAGGATTGGTGTTAGTATAACACTGTTGCATTTACAATATGGATAGAATGGAAAGGTTAAATTGTGGAATAACAACAACTCCATGTTTAAATGGTTTGAATGACATGACAAATGTTATAAAATTCACAAGTTTATTAATGTTACCTTACATCCATTTATACCAATCTTCATTGTAAGCATGGAATAAAACAGAAAAACATGTTTAAAACAATTGTGTTAAATATGTCGAATAGACACTCGGCAACATACACCATCACAGTCAAACAGAATGCAACCCATGCTCATGCATCAACTCAATTAGGTGTTAAAACCTTGGGGTACAAATATACAATATGACCCATTTTTCTTAATGGAATAGAATTGTATTGAACTGAACAGATTTTAATTAATTGTACAGCCCAAGGCCTTACATCAGCACATAGCTTTGCATGCACAATAATATGTATTTACCACAGATTGAATAATGTCTTTTGCTTATTAACGTTATATTATTTCATGATTTATCTCCGTTGGAATGATGGTAATATTGTTTTGGCAAAAATACATACTCCTACAATAATATACAATTCATTTATTTTCATATACGACATCAAAATGTGTTGATACATTTTGCATGCATTTTCTTTACCATCATCATATAGCAACTTCATATAGACAATTGATCATTTTCAACATCCTTTTGGCCAGGACTTTTTTTTCCTTATTCCCATTGTTACCTATATTGTATTTGATATATTTATTTTTATTTTATTTTTTCTTCTTTTTTTTTTTTTCTGAGGTAGAGGGGGGGTTTGTTACCAGGATCGTTTCCGTTATGCGCCTGGGGCTTCTTGACTTCGCCTGTCACATTTCATATTTTTAAATCTAGATTTCTTGCAGCCTTATGTGTGCGTAAATAATTGAATAAAAAATAAATCGAATTGATTGGTGCAAAGCTTGTGCAATCAAACACACCAAAAAACACACATGTGTATATAGTACATTCAATACATATACTCTTAATAAGTTACATGCCATTATACCTGTATGCAGTCAGATTACCGTGCTATAGCTGATGGACATTCACACACATGCACGCACCTTTGGAGCTAGCAGGCTGAATATCTTTGCAAAGATAACGTGACCAGCGAGAGCGAAAAGGATATGATTGCGGAATGTAGAGAACCACATCATCCATTCGAAGTCTGCAGCATCCTGTGGCAAAGAAGGATTCATCATTAACACGTGACCAACACTCTCTCATTTAACATCCTGCATTAGGAAATCCAATTGTAGAACACATTGAGATACGCAATTTACCATTTTCCTGCCAAAGTAATGCCATCCTGGCTGCACACTTTCTTTGAAGGCCTTCCTGTCTATATTCTCTGAATGAAAAAACAGAACAAGATTTAGTGTTTTATCAACGTGGTATTATATTTTCAACAGAGCAATATACAGTATGGTTAAGCTTTAAGGTTTAGAGGAGCTAAATCCAGACTTTGGGCAGCTTCATTTTTGGGTGTCTATGTAATAATCATTTGGAGAATAAGGTCCTGCTGGAACAGCTTTGGTTTCACTTTAGGATGATCCCAGTGAATTGTAGGTGCATGAGCCCATTCACTCCATCTGATAACATCAAATATGACATAATGCACGAGCTGCAAAGCTTTCTATTTTTGAGTCTGACATCTTCACACTCATGTGGTCATAATCTGGTTGTAGGAGATTAGTTCACTGCACAACCTGAATGAAACGCGAAACACAAAAACCATATTAGATAACAAATATAAGTGTGAAAGTGATCAGAATCATGGCATTGATGTTAATACTTCCTATTCAAGGCAACGCCCCCAGCCACTCCAGCTTTGCCTTGTTACACTAATGGACATGAAAAAAGGATATCAAAATGTGTGGGTCACTCAGGGAAAGCCTCTTACTCCAGGGAACGCAGCCAAGCTTTTATTATGAATGTACAGTGCTACTGTAGCGGTGTAAATGCCGAAAGACTGAGCAGCCAAAAATGAGCATTTCAAGAGAATCAGGAAGAAAAAGAATCAGGACCAAATGACAATATGACTCTGCCATGGCCGATCTGACTGTGACAGACAGTACCATTCACCAGATTACACTAAATCCATTCAGAGCCATATGTAAAGAGGATACTTTGAGCTATTTACTGTCTAATACATGCAAACAGTTGGGAGTATTTCGGGACGAAGCGTCTGGGATTAGATGATGAGTGTAATTTAGTCTTAGTCTGAAATATCTCCACCAGAAAAATAATTATAAGTAATTGGAACATCTTTAAATTGTCTGCCTATTAATAGAAACACGAAGGTATTGGGGGATTAGGGTCTTTTTTGTTCTGCTAAAGGAATTGTGTTCTATGTACTTGTGTCATAATTAGGGGTCTTGTTTTTTTAAGCACATTTTAATAAATCATTCCCATTGTTAAGTGGTTTTCAGTGGGATTTATTAGGACTGAGAGCGCTAAATGTATGTTTTTTTTACTCATTAAATTGGTACGAAGACGGAGCAGCTGCTCTGAAAGTGCTCGTTTTTCTCTGTCTCAATACATTTAAAATTGAGCTTCAATATGTTACTGCACGTGCTTTGGACATGTCTTTGACTCTTCATGAACTCACCACTTGAAGCTTCAAATATCCAACTGCCTGCCCATATCAAGGCCACGCCGAGTACGGCTGTGTAGAGATACAGCTCATATCTGGGCAGGGCAGACTTGATCCCCATGGTGAATCCGTCAACTGGAAGCCTAATGGAATGGAAAGCAATCAGCCACACAATATAAGATCTCACTGAATGAAGGAAAGCGGCAGAAAGAAAAAAAACACGTCTTAGAAAAAAAGCAAAGGATTTTCAGATGACTAGGAATGTGTTTTTATTCTGGTCTGAGACAAGAGCATGCACTTTTATTACTGTAGATGTATTCACTTTGGACATCCTATTCATATAAACCCCCATTGAAATGATTTAACAATAGCCTATTGGAAAAAACTGTCTTTAACACCCATAAAACTTATGATGGTGATTAAATGAAACTCCCTTTGAAAACACACATACAACACAGGTTCTACTGGACATACAGACCATCAATTAAGGGACATTTTTACTAATAAGCCTAAAGGATCGACAGGGCAGGGACTTAAATAGTACTGCAGAGCCCTGGCTCCTCGGAATCAGCACTGTCAGCTGCATGCGCAACCCTACCTCTCCTTCCCATTATAGCTCCTGCAGTTGGTGCTCAGTGCAGAGGGGCAGCTGCAGTGCTATGTGATCTGAGCTGAGGCGCTGCATGGGGACTCACTTCACAGAATAATTAGCCCTGACAGGAATGACCAAGAATGGTGCATCGGAGTAGGAACAACAGAGAGACAGCTACTTTCCAGTGGAGAATATGGCACTTGTACCTGGTTGAGTGTTTATATGCGTATATGCGTGTGTGTGTGTGTGTGTGTGTGTGTGTGTGTGTGTGTGTGTGTGTGGTTTTGTGTGTCAGGATCATGTCTAGTTGAAGTTCAAATAGTTGGACTAACAACTTCATGCCAACATGTTACCATGGCTAAGCAGGACCCCAGCAAAGCATCCTGCATACAAATACTGGTTTACTGTTTCAATGCCCCCATGCAGACAGAAGCCCTAACACACAGGGATCTTGCATTGATTGTTATGTATACTCATAATAAAACCCTATACAAACAATCATATTTGTTTTTACTAACCTTGTATCCGCTTCACACTGTCAAGGTGGGGGGGGAAGCGGTGTTTACAGCCAGACTCTTCAATATAGAGAATGAATAAAAGAAAACAACGGGGTGTCGGTGGATACTGCAGCTTTTTCTAATTCATCCGTCTTGAAGGGGGGCTTGCCGCTGCCGCTGCCTGCGATCACCAGCCTTGGCCAGTCAGGATGTTCCGGACTCAACGAAAGGAGAAGGAGGAGGGGGGAGTGGGAGTAGGAGGGGGGATATATTTATCTTCCACTTCTGCACCGCAGTGAGGGGTGGTCCACAGTGAGCCAACCAGACCTTACTGGAGCCGGGACAGTGTGTAAAAATGAGGAGGAAAGAATCAACCAATAGCATCATCCTAGGCCACTATGCCAACATGATCACAGTGAAACACTCTGATGGCAAAAAAATATAATGGATTAGATTTTTAAAAGGCATCTGAAAATATATTGTATGTGAAATATGACATTTGTTTTGTCAAAAGCAATTAGGGTTTCTTCTTATTTTTGCCATACATTTGTTTTAGTTGTTTTGGTATCCTCTTTACTGTGTAGTACCAGTCAGAATAGATTATAAAGTCACGAAAATGTTCAGTCATTGTTCCATTATGAAGGAATGTCTTGGCACATTCAAATCCAATACTGCGACTGATGTGATACAACGGGCAGCGTAGTGTATTATAAATGCATGAAATATTTCCGTCATTTAAACGCTAGGTGGCGCTCTCTACTTATTAAAATAAGTCACACAAGGTGAACGATCTGAACCCACACCATGGGTTTTGGATAAAAGTCAACTATTTTCATGGATTGTTGAAAATCTGCTGTTGGTGTTGTTTGCCTGGAATTAAAGCTTGGTTGCGACCTATTCCGCTAAACAACGTGTGTTGTTTCTAACTGTATTCTTGTTTTGCTCATATAATAAAGATGTATAATTTGTTGCCAGCAGTAATTACAGGGGTAAGGAGGCTTGAGAAAGTCCAGCCAGCTGCATGGGTTGAGCAATAGTGCGGCGAGGCTGGCTGCCTGAGAGGATCCATCACAGAAACACACCGCCCCCTCCCACTCAGAGAGCCCCCGCTTCAGATGCAACTCAAAATACATAAAGCCTCCATGTTGCACGGGGAATGAAGGGCCAGCTGATATGAACTGTTTGCTTAAAAGTGTTAGCTAACTCTGACGTCCAGCAACTTGCGGTCGATACATGTGTTTGGACAAGAACCACGACGGGCTTCCTAGTGTTTTCAGCGTTGTTCCTGACACGGCCTCACATTTTGGATGATCGGAGCTCCACAGCTAACTCGCTAACCTAAGCTACTTGCTAACTTCAGCTAGTTAGCAATTCAACGTCGGTTTGTATTTTTGTTAGCCGTTCACGCTGTCGGTGTTGTTCGCAAAATACTTGTTTGCAGCAATGATATTTTGCCATAAATGATAGCCTCCCACTGGCTTCCATTCACCACCGTGCTAGCGAGCTGGCTACACCCGCTGCCTCCACACTTCTCCTCGGACGGCTGCCCTGCTTTGTGGGCTGGCTGCTCATCTCCATCCTGAACGGCTAGCTAGCAGGAGCTAGCTAACGCGCGCTAGTACGAATAATATTGTGGGAAACAAACAGGAGTAACCACCCGTCTAAATGGACCACATGTCCATAATAACCCAAGTTTCCAACCCGAAGGAGGAGGAAATAATATCCTTTAACCAGGAGAAAGGTAAGGACATGTGAATTCACAGAAGATAACTAATGCTAACTGACTACTTTTCTACACTGACGTTAGCCGTTAGCTGGCGCTCGCTAGCTGTTCTAACGTTAGTAGTTAAACACACTAGTTGCCTAATTGTGGATGATAGGTGTGTAAAACAATGAATTAAATAATCTCTAGCTAAAGTGGAAAAACTCTTAAAAAGCAACACGTTTATTAGAGTGGGCTCCTCCAGTATAAGTTTAGCTGTTTGTTGAAAATGAAGAGCGCTCTAGTGTCGGGGCGTGTGGTTTTACCCCATTAACCGTTAGTCGGATTAAAGTTCACTCATTTGTGAGAAAAAGCAGTTATCCAGGACAAGTTATGGCCACATATGCGTTTCAAATGTGTATGAATGATTGCATTGTTGCACTTTTGTGTTTAGGCTATATAGCTGATCCGATTGGGTACTTACTATATAAATCACGACACAACTACAGTATGCTACATAGTTGATGGGTTGGTCTGTAGAGTAGCAAACGTTTTTTGAGGATGAAGCAAACTTGCAAACAGAGGAGAAATATCTGTTGTCAATAGTGTAGGA